ATTCATTTCTATCTGTTTGTGCCATTAAAGATCAAATTTTTTTCAAATCTCCATTCATTTAGCATAAATGGATAATAAAAAGGGAGAAATTGCTTAAATTATCGACGCATTTATATTTTCCATCTTAAAAAAAGAAAGAAAACGGATGGTGGTTCACTAAATCCCTTTAAATAATTTCAAGCATATTCATACGAAATTTCAAGAGTCTGTAATTTCGTAGCCTGGGAGGGGTGGGCACGGCTGTGCACAGGTTAGTAATTTCGCCATTTTCGTGATTTGTAAAAAAAGATCGCGAAATTAAAGAAACGCAAAATATAACCATTACGGACACTCCAGCTACTTACATTTCCAGTAAGAACCAAATACCCAAGCTGTTCAACAATCAATGGATCCAGGGATGACGGCGGATGGCAAAATCTATGCTGRAGAATAGTAAGGACTGACTCGGTGGTCTGTGGTACAGAGTGAAGCATGAATGCTACGTGACCCAATGTAAGAATGGCGTTAGTAGACACTAAATTGACTGTGTCATCATCTGTATTCTCTAGTGTGTACAGCTTGTTGGATATTGATGATAGGAACGCTTGTACGCAGTTTTCGTCCACTTTTTGTCCTGCTTTTAGAGCCCTAAAAACAAATAAAATAAACAATAAATCAATTCTGACCAACAAATACAGTCAACTCTCGCCTTACGCCGACAACCCGCTATAACGGACACCTCGATATTACGGACACAAAATACTGAATCCCCTGAGAAAAATACAAAGAAATGACTGAAAGAGACTCCCATTAGTACAGACTCTCGCTACTGCGGACACTAAATTACGGTCCCGAAGGTGTCCGTAATAGCGAGAGTTGACCCTAATATGAAAGTTGTGGAAACTAGCGGTACACTAGTGTGAGCTGCGTTAGTGTTTCTAAAGAAACAGTTGTGTAAAAAGATAAATTTAACACTGTGAAAAAGTAGATGAAATAATTTACTGATGTTTTGGACGTTAATCCTTCGTCAGAGTAAAGAGAATATCAAATATCAAGGTCTTGGTCAGTCTTATCAACAAACCCACCAACAAAGAAGTGTGTGGCAGGGCTGGTGCCGCATTTTCTTAAATAGTGGGACGGAAAAGAGGGGGACTTACATTTGTAGATCTAACCAACGTATTTTATAGACTGATACTTTAATCTCGCCACACACGATAGGAAAGTGCGCAAGGAAAATGCCACGCGAGGCGCTTTGATCAGCTTTTTGTTCACCGTGAACAGCAAGAATCGGTGCGTACACTCTTATCAAAGCTACTCGCGTGGCATTTTCCTTACGCACTTTTCTATCGGTGGGTGGGGGTGAGGGGGCCGGGGGGGCGCCCTATCGTGTGCGATGGGCTTTGGATTTGACAACTATTTGAAAAAGACCTTTGTGCTGTCCCTGTGTGTTTAAAGAATCGCAGCCAACCGCCGTACCTTGCGAGCCGAAGAGCAATTTTAGGTGGACACAAAAATGGCGGATTCGTAGGATTTCTTAAAGTGAGCGCRAATCGKCKTCCATCCTTTCAGTTTGGACAGAAATACCTTTAACTATAAGTACCTCACAGGTACTATCAATCTATAATCTATTGTATGCGTATGTGAACAATAACACGAGCGCGCGCTGTATTGTGGTTGGTTGGGATTCTTTACAGACTTCTAAGATCGAATTCTTCGTTAATTGTTTAAGTTACCTGCATATGTTTTCAAGGGTTGCTTTCCTCAGTAAATACTCCARAGAATCTTTATCCTTATTGCTAACATCCGAGGCATTTAAAGTAAGTAAGGGTGCATTGTCCTCGCTGTCGGATACCATCATTACTATAGGTAACATGGGCTTCTTGGCTGTAGGACTGCTATTCTTGGTAAACAGGGGGGCTGGAGTGAGGAGGAAATTTCGAAATGATGCCAATATTGTGCTGAAACAAAATCAATTCATAAAAATCATATTAATCAATCTCCTTTGCAAAGCTGGATTTTTGAAGTTAAGAAACCTTAATCACAAGAATTCTGAAATGCAAGATTAGAATTTCTATTACAACAGTGGAAAATRTAACTTTAAAAATAAGTAATCAATTAATACCCAAGCTCTAACTAATTACTACACTCGACTCACAGATGAAATGAATTACGCTTTACCCCCCTCCACCCCACCCCCATCCCCCCAAGTGAATTTATTTATTCGTGTATAAAGAGTTGTCGCAACTCAGGGCACGCTTTTATTGAGAAGTTTTCCACTTCAAAAAGTATTTGGCCAAAAAGTACAGAATCTGATACCGTTGATTTTCCATTTTCCAATTAACGTTCTAGTTAATTTTAGAGATTGCCCCCCCTCTTCAAGCACATAAAATTAGATTGTGCCCCCCCCTCACTTCCTGATAAATATTGCATAGTCCTTAAAATGGAGATGATTTCATTCTTGTTGTGTTAACAGAGTGTAAAAATCAATCCCCATACTTAGACAATGTAGGAAACTTGTCAGCCAGTGATCCAAGTCCTTCCAAGCAACAAGTAAACAAGCACAAATCAGTCTGCACTAATGAAACCACTAAATGAGAACACAAAAACTCCGAGATATTCTGACACAGTGCATCGGCATCTTGTTCATCTTGTACCGTCCACACCATAAGGTCCACGCTGGCTGAAATGATTTGTAATTTCCACTTTAAGGTGTGATGGTTCAATTCACTGTTCCGTTTYTGGATTTCTGTCTTCTCTGCCAAGAAGATGTTTTTGCCAATTTCTTGTGCTTTCTTTGATTGTTTTTGTGAAACGTCTGGTGTTGTCTTATAGATGTCTCTGAGWAGTGTTACCATTGATAAAATGATCACTTCATTGTATGTCTTGTATGTGAAACTTTCAGGAAGTGAACCTGACTATAATTATGAAACAAGAAAC